CTCTCTCTCTCTCTCTCTCTCTCTCTCTCTCTCTCTCTCTCTCTCTCTCTCTCTCTTTCTCTCTATCCCCCTTCTCCCTCTCTTTTCTCGCTCTGTCTATCTGAACAGCACGAGAGTTGCCAACTAGTCGTCATGTAAACTAATACGAGCAAAGCTTAAACGCATGCCACGCCCATATATACACAAAGGCCTAGCCAATATAGCCCAATGGCATTTGACCGAATCGCCGTCTTTGGCCGGCCATAGAGACTCCCAAAGGTAGTTAGCTACCTCATGAGTGGTGCATGGATATTGCAAAGCTTAGCCTCAGGTGTTGCCTTTGGCATTGGCAGGTGCATCGAGCTCAACTTGCAGCAGACCAATTAACGGCAACTTTATAATTCATGTGCGTTTCGGCTTCATGGCCAAGTTAATTAGCAAATTAATAGCGGCCTAAAACCCCAGAGCGACTAAATTGTCAGATCCTCAATGGAGTCGGAGGAGAATATTTAATTGTTAGTTACATTGCATTACTAATGCATTGCTCTAAGAGGATGTGCGCTAATGAATGATGAAGGCGCGATACAGAGAAGTTAGAATACGAATTGAATAGACAAATGAAATGCATTAAGTAGACGAACAAGCATAGATTAAACATTAGAAATAATATATCAAATATTAAAAGATTATTTTTTCATTGCAAGCTTTTTAAATAATTTTAATTCTTTTTAAATTAAATCTAAATTTTATCTCCAAATAATGTCGATTTCTTTTTTAACATTTAAATATATATACATTTCTTTTTAATTTTTATTAATTTACTAATGCATAAGTTGTGTTTTAAATATAATACATATATTTATAGATATGGCAACATTTATTTATTTTTTAGACAAACCGTAAAAAATTATATATTAAAAATAAATAAATAAGTAATAATAAATAAATAAATAATAATAAAGAAATAAATAATAATATAAGCATAAATAAATAATAATAAATAATAATAAAAAAATAATAGTAATAAAAAAAAAAAAAATAAGAAATAACAAATAATTATATATATGAATTTATAAAATCTTAAAAGCTGCAATATATAATATAGAAATATTAAAATTTAATAAAAATAAATAAAAAATATTTAATTTAATTATTATAAATATTAAAAATTAATTTTCAAGGAAATATTAATATTTTATAAAGTTGAAATGACATAAATTGAGCTTAGCAGTGTTTTTTATACAAAGACTGCAAATTTTATTACATTTGTAAAGCTTATTTATATATAAATAGAATTTTAACTGCCGTTTCCTTTCATTTTCTGTACGCCAACAACACCTTTTGCTCCTTTATTCCTTTGCACGTATTCAATATTCTGTTCCCCCTCTACACAATCTAGACTTGATATAGTTAGTAAATATGTATATATATGCTGATGTATGTTAACAACTCGTTTGTGAGATTAACACGCAGAGAGGGCTTAAGCAAGAACAAACACTTTACTATGCATATAATGTTAAGGTGCTAAGGGGCGTGGCATTAAGGGGCGTGTCCGCCTTTGATGATGTTGATGCTGATGATGGCAATGCCTTGGTAAATCGCATTTCATGCTCCGGCTTCATTGCTGGGTGCTAAAAAGGCGAATGCCCCCAACTAAAGAAACGAATAGGCATTAGGCAAAGGTGAGAAAGAGAGAGAGGGAGAGGTCGGATAGTAGTGTGGGAGAGAGAGATAGAGAGGTAGCTGCTGTTGGCTGCTGGCCGTAATTTATGCGGTTGCAACGGTGACTGCCGCTAGTGCAACAACAACAACAGCAACAACAAAAACACCAAAAGCAACAACAACAAATAATAACAAACTAACATATCCGACCATATTTTCACTCAGTGTGCATTTTTTAATAAGATTTCTTCAAGCAGACGACGTCTCAAGACAGCTGTGTACGTGTCTCTGCATATGTGTGTGTGTGTGTGTGTATCTTCATCTTGTGCTTGGCAACATTTGTAATGTTTCGTTGCATTTTGCAACGCGTCGTTGACGTCGGTGTTAATAAAGATTCACCCAGCTAACCATGCGGGGGGCCTTTAGGCAACCCACTGGGCTGCAGTTGCACCTGTGCTGTGCGGGGGTGTGTGGGGCGGGGGGAGTAGTGTAAAAGTGGGCTGAGATGGTGTCTGCCTGGTGCTCGGTGCTTGGTGCCTGCATCGGGCCCGTCTATGGGTGGCCTACTTAATTTATGAGACGCGAGAATTTGCTGCGCTGGCAAACAACGCAGCAGCAAACGCGAAGAAGCAGCAAAAAAGCAGCCAAAGCATAGCGCAATTTGTAATTAGTGTAGGTACATGGCACAAAATCTGTTGCTAAAGAAAATGCATCCAACAGATACTTAACGCTCTAAGACGGCAATGACGTCGTCGACAACAACAGCAGCAGCAACAGCAACAACAGCAACAACAACGATGACAGCAGCAGCAACAGCGACGACAACAGTTGCAATAATTATGGACTGCTAGGCGACATCATGTGATTGACCGCATTAGAGAACAGACGAAAGCAGTTGTCGACGGCAATAGAGATGGACAGTTGGAGAAGCTGAATAATAAGGCGAAAAGTAGGCAAGAGAGGGCCACGCTGAGAGCATAAGATATTCAGATTTTGGATGGTCCCATATAAATAAATAATACAATCAATTATTAAAATAAAAAAAAGTAAATATTTTACAAAATAACAAACAATAACAAATAACAATTAAAATAAATAAATAAAATCAAATAAAAATAAAATAAAATAAAATAAAATAAAATAAAATAAAATAAAATAAAATAAAATGAAATAAAATAGAATAAATAAAATATGAAAAATAAAACAAATAAAATAAAATAAATAAAATAAGATAAATAAAAAAAATTAAACAAATAAAATAAGTTAAATAAAATAAAATTAAATATATAAATAAAGTGAATAAATAAAAATAAAAAATAAATAAACAGAAATTAAAAATTAACTAAGAAAAAATACAAATAAATAAATAAAACAATAAAAAAATATAACTAAAATATATACAAATATCTCAAATTAAATAAGTATTAGAAATGAAAAATAAAACAATAAAATTAATAAATAAAATAAATAAAAAAAATTAATTATTTTACTCCAATAGAATTTCAATAAAATTGATTGAATCTTCACATCATCTGAAATAAACGAATAAACTGAATAAACTCTTAAAAAAATAAAAACTGTTTAGAATATATATTACAAAGCAATTAAATTTGATAAAAAATTGAAATATACAAACATAAATAACAATTCAATATTATCATTATTTAAAATTGATATTATAAAGATAAACAACAAAAACATATATTAAATAATATATCAAATTGCTATATACATATAACATTAGCAACCCTAGACATAGGTAAAATGCTAGAAATTACAAACAGATTACGTTTTAATTTATTTATGTAGTCCTACAAGTAAAGCTAGGCATTATTAGAAATGTATTAGAATATTAAATAGAAGCCTAGGGTAAAGCTCTGGCAATCAGGTATGCAAGGCATTAGAATAGAATAGCATGTGCTTAATAGCTAAATTTGTGGATTAATAAATAAAGTTTTGTGTGTATGCAAATTAAACGAGAGGCAGACCACAAGCACACATACAGACACACAAACACACACACATACATGTGTATATGTGAAGTCAAGCCAAATGAAGGCAAAAGTTGAGTTGAGCAATTGTATGAATCTCTCAAGGGTTTTCGATGAAACATAAATCAAGCGAAGCACACTCGGCTGGTGTTAAAATTTAATTTGCTAAGCTCCACACAAAATACAAACATACATTTGTTTGTATGTAAAATGTGGGTGCGTGTACATATATATATAAATCCAGCTCTGGCTTGTGCTTAAGTTGATTGAATACGTTTTTCTTTTTGTCTGCTGCCTTTTGAGGGATTTTCTAATTAAATGTCACTTCATGTTTTGTGACATTTGAGCATCAAAATATTTTGCATAGTTTGCCCCGCTGGCTATGCCATTGTTAGCAGCATCCTTTAACGCAGAGATGTAGAAGTAGATAGAGAGACAGAGAGTGAGAAGCAGAGAGATAGTGAGATAGTCTATTCAGGGCAGTATATGTCCACGTCATCATATGATATGACATAGATGTTGCGCATAAAGGCAGAACAAGGAGAATGGGAATGGGCGTGGCTGAAACCTGTGCCAACATTTTGTCACTTTTTTGCCAGTTTCTGTTCATTGTATTGTCTATGCCATTTGTGACTTGTTTATTGTGTGTGCTCTCTTTCTCTATGTCTCTGCTGCTGCTGCTGCTGTAATCCGTAATCCTTCTGCTTTATTGTGCATTTACATATCAGTCTGACTCGTTTGTTTGGCATCGGACGACAGTTGTTGCTGCCGCTCTGTTTCTGTTAGATAGCAGTTCATGGAGGTTATCGCTTTTGTCCAAACAAAAAAGTCGAAAAAAAAGGACTTTGTAATAGATACAGACGGTTCTCGTTGTAAATAATGTGAAAACTCTAAAAAAAATTCCAGCAGCATTGTGACCTAAGAAAACAAAAATAAATGTTGAATGTATTTAAAGTTTGATTAGAATTCAATTGAAATGAAAATGTGTATAAGTATATACAGGAACATTATATATATAAATGTATAATGCAAAAAGTTTTCATATTTCTGGGACTTTGTGGAATTCATCCAAGGCAACCCAAATAAATATTATAAGTATTTCAAAGTCGGATTGGTTAAAATACAATTGAAGTAGTAATGTGTGTAAATATGTACATAAATAAAAATGAAAAATAATATATGTACATATAAAATATTCAATCAAGAAAAGTTTATTTCTTCAAGTTATTTTTTGCAATTTTATTCTAAAAGTATTTGCGCTCGACTTTTTCTTGATGTATTTTCTTAAACGAGCTTCAATCTATTTATATATATTTATATTTATTTTCCATCGTTTATATAAATATAAACACATATACATATATATTTCCACTCAGCTACAACTTATATCAACAATTATTTTCAAATAGCATTTTCGTTCGACTTTCTTTCATGAACTTCATCAAATTGAAGTAATATATCATTTATTTTCTCACAGTCTAGTTATTAGAAATGTATTAGAACTAAGCTCCTCTGCTCGCATAATTGCAGCATCATCTTCGAAAGTTGTTTTTGCCCCTAAACCTGCCACGCCCTGAGCAATCAATGATGTGAAGAGGCAGCCGCCAGTTAGCTTTATGCTCTGGCCAAAAGTAACTTTCAATTTATTTCGCTTCAGCAATTCCATGTGCAACTCACACACACACACACACACATACATAACATATATATGTAATATGAAATAGGCAATTTTGGCCACATAAGAAGAAAAAGAAAAAGTTATATATATATACATATATATTCGGTTATTACTCACACAAAAGGCTGCCTATAATTCCGAGTTGTCAGCGTCTGTGGCAAGTTTTTTGGATGGAGGCGTTATAGTTTATGCTATTGTTGCCATTGTCGCGCATGGCGAACATAATTTTAATAGGTCATCATATTAAGGGATTTTGTGCAATTTGTTCACACATAGACACACACACACACACACATGTTAGAGTTTCCTTGTATATGAGTTGAGTGAAGGCTTTGGCTGCTATTTGTATTGATTGTGTGGAGGCTGTGCGCCTGGCACTTGCTGCTCTAGCTGCAGCCGTCCTGCTCTGGCACAGCCTTTTGGGCCTCTCACTCTAATTATGGCTCTGTCTGGTTATTGGCCATTTGCCACGAGCTGACATGTGCGTTTAATTGCGTTTCACTTATTTGACACAAAATTAATACGGCACTCGGCACAAGTTTTAGCTTCACCCTTTCCGTTTCAGGGCTCGCCCACATAAGTATGCTATAATTTCGGGCATATGTCCATTGTTTTAGCAGCAGCAATTATTAAGGCCTGTCCCCTCTAATCCTCTCCTGTGTGTGCTTGTGTGTGTGTGTGTGGATAATTAAATATTTCTGCAACATTTGCGTTTTGTTTGTGGAATTGCTGTTGCTGCTACAGTTGTTAGTTGTGCTTTGTGCTGGATTTTGTGGATTGCCCCAAAAAGTTTTCATTCTATTTATATAACAATTTAAGACTCTATGACAGCTGCAACATTTATAATTGAGGAGATTAAAAGTTAAATATAGATGAATATATATGTATCTATATATAAATTGTGGTTTGATATATTGTTTTAATGGCTGTAATTGAGAGTTAAGCCATATATATTACAGTCAAGCTAATGGCTGAGTAATTTATATACGTTTAGCCTGAGTTCCTTTGAGTCCGCTGACAGCTTGACAAAGTCTTGCCTTAATTTTTTTTATTTTTGCCTGTTTGAAAGTGATTTCAAGCGCAACAGCAAATGTCACTCTCGAAAAAAATACGAAAAAAAAAAGAGGAAGAGAAAACCTTTTTAAAGTGCACAAGAAAATCGTTGCCTTTGGGGGCCAGTTGGTAAACATAAATCAAATTATGTGCCCGGCTAACGCCCGGCTATAAAATCTGCCCAAATGTTATTAAGTGCGGCCCAGGGACATTCATCAGTAGTCCCGAGGACCGAACCGAACGGAAGCGCTTGTTGACCATTTGGGTTTGAGGCTTTTGTAGTCCAGTATTTTATGTTATTAATATTAATATTATTATGTGCACAAAGTTGTTGTTGTTGTTGTTGTTCCTTCCGGGAGACAGTGTGTGTGTGTGAGTGTGTGTGTGTGTGTGTGCTTGTAATTACGCACTTTAATGAGTTTTCCCTTTGACCGCCCCCCAGGGCAACAACAGACTGTGCGTTCGTAACGCTACAGCTGGAAATGTGTCAGGTGTCGGCCGGTTGGGCTTATAAAAATACAGACACACACACACACACACACACGCATACACGCATACACTCGCTCTGACAGGCATTTTGCCAGCGGGATAGCAGAGGCAGACAGCTGCGTGTATTGCACATGTGCATAATTAATTTTAAAAATTAATTTCCATCGTATAACTTTCGCTCGCTGAGAACTTTTCTTTCATCTGTTTGTGAATGGGTTATAGCAAAAGTGTGAAAATAGCTGGATACAGTTAAGGATTAAATTGCCCACCTTTAATATTCATTTTGAATGTTGAACTCTTCTTCTTCTTCTGCATTCGCTTCTAAATTACTCGCAAGTTTCTCAAAAGTTCGTCTCGACTTGCGTCACTGGAACTTGAGTGAGTTTTGAGAACTAATTGCAAAGTGATTTTCTCTC